TTAATATATTATTCGTTTTGCCAGTATATAACATCCTCATTTTCTAATATTTTATCCCTCAAATTACTATTTTTATGATATTAAAATTCCTATCCTTACTACTGGTAAATCTTTGCCTATTCTTTCTGCAGTTTTTTTCTAATGTGTACCTTATAAACAATATATTGCTTGATTTTTATCTTTTTAATTCAATTAGAAATTCTTGGTGGCTTTATTAGTAAGTTTATAGTATTTATAACTGTTATAATTCCAATTGACAGTTGTTGCAAATCTAATTTTGCATTTTCATGTTTTCTACTTTGCAAGCCTTCTTTTTATCCCTTCCTTCTTTTATTTAAATGGCTGGACAGAACTTCTCTTGCTAGTTCGCAAGTACGACATTCTATTTGTCTTTTCCTAGGAGTCATTCCTAAGCTATTAAGAATGGTGCATTTTCCCCTATGGATTCCTTAACCTATTGATATATATTTTTTTCTTCATAAAAAGAACCTCAGAGAAATATACAAAATCAAACCAAAGGGACAGAGAGGATGGGTAAAAGGAAGAAGCAAGAGGTCAGTGAAGAACTGAAAAGTGACAGAGAAAGAGAAGTTGACGTAAAGAGTTAGGTCTGAGGTAATGAAACCAAGGACTTCTGCATACATGACACCCATTAGTTCCCTTTACATAATGTCCCCAAGACACTTATTTTTCTGCTCCTGATTGGGAAAACATTTCCAACTATTTAATAATTTCAACTGAGCAGTCACTGTTCTAGGCCCACTTTTGAAGGCCTGGAGACAAGTAACGAACAAGGAGACTGTGCCTGCCTAGAGCTCCCAGAGGATAAGCAGTTCAGGAAGCAATTGCTACAGAGGAGGGGACATGCAGGACACCTGGGAACACTCAGCAGGGAAGAACTTCGCTGCTCTGCAGGAACCAGGAATGCCTTCCTTCCAGGGCTGAGCTTCAAGGACATGACTCCTCCCCCACACAGGCTGGCCTCACCACTCTCACTGTGCTGGCCACAGGCCCTCTCCATCTGGCGGGCTGTGGGCAAAATACTGCAGATGTGGTCACGGCCACGATGCCTGCACGCAGCACAGAGCCAGCCAGGTTCTCTCAGGGCACTGCCCAGGACTCACAAGGTCCCCTCCCTTTCTGTCTCCCCAGCCTGAGACACTGAGTCACTGCAGACTAGTGTCAATGGGAGTGACCGCCCTGTTCCTCAGGCCTGTCCCCTCTCTGCCTCTCTGCCCAGGGCCTCTGTTGTATTTTCTGCATAATCATACTCACTAATTTAGATAAAGTAAGGAAGGACATCTTGGAAGGGATGAAAGCAGTTATTACTGTTTCTAAGAAGCTGTCATAATTGCAGTGAGGCACGCCTCAAACCCATCCACACCGACTCTGACGAGCAGAACATTGGGATGGACACAGGGAGACCATGTGCTCTGGCTTTAGAAACAGTTGCCTGACTTCACCACTCACTGCCGCTGTGACTTGGAGGAGACCACTGAACTTCTCTGCGTCTTGGTCCCCTCCTTTGGAAAGGCACTGTAATAGCTCATTAGGTTAGTGTGAAGATTAAATGGTACACGCGGAGCCCAGAGCCTGGCACTTAATCAGGCCTAGAAGAGTAGCTGCTTGATATTCAAGTTAGAATTAGCATTAACGTTTGGATTAGCTTGGTATTACTATGTTACAGGCTGACCTGGTGGTACTAAGGAAAGAGATAATGTCGCTATTTTCTCAGGTTAGAAGTAAATTTTGGGTAGATGCTGTCTATAGTTAACCACAACATGGCAAAAAAAAAAAAGTGGTTTTCACTATATGTATAATACCCAGCCTAGAGTATTTAATAATTATTTCTAGAACTGGTTTGAACAACATATAAATCTTATTCATAAAGATAACTTTGTAATTAATAAGATTACAACATTTTCTTCATGGACATCTGTTATCCTAAGGTTTGTTTCATTTAAGTATCCAAAACATCTGGTCGTATTTTTATTAACCTGTTCTTGTTCATTTGTTCATCCATTTATTCACTCATTATTTATTCAACAAATATTTCTGGGATGTCTATCAGAAAGACATCTGCACAAAACAGGCATTTGATAAATATTTGTTGAATTTTTAAAAATTATATTACCAGAATCCAATCATACATATGTCTGAATATATTTGTAAATAAAATCAACACTGTTTTACTTTACTTAAACTCTGCAACAAATTAGCTAATCTATAACCAATAAAGTTTTATCTCTTGAAGATGGTTTTAGAAAATTTTCATTCTATTAAACTTTCTAGATTGCTCAAAAGGATTTTTAAAAGTTCAAATTCCTTGTATAGTCATAGTTCTACAAATAGATAAGCTCAGTAAATAATCATTTACATTTCTGAAATAGGAGCAACTCTTTTTTTCTATCTAATCCTCAATTTTTACCTATTTTAATTTCCCATCTACAGGTGAAATGCTCAACAATGATATTAATACTTTCCAAACATTTTCCCTCCATGACTAATCACTTCTGAGTTTACTGAAGGTGGCGTGAATTCTGATTTGCGCAATTTTTTTGTAAGTCAGACAACCAGAATAGACACTTTCAAAGGCAAATGCCGCAAAGGGAGTTGGGGAGATGACACCCTGTCGCCCCACTAAAATGTCTCCCTGAAAAAATCTTACAGGTTGATGAGTTTAATTACCCTTGATTTTCATTCCTGCCTTTTGACAATGCTAAAATCTTCAGGCTATGAAAAATGCTGGTGTTTGAAGTCACAGCAGTAGTCAGAAGGAGAAACCGGCATCTCAGCTGCGCCCTGTCACAGTGCCAGAGCCCAGAGGACCACCGGGGCTGAGCTGTGCTGGAGAACGGCCTCGGGCTTCCTCCATGTGCCGGCCGTGCAGGCCCAGTCGCTCTTCCACCAGAAGCCAACGGCCTATTTAACTATATGCACGGAGAAGTCTTGATATACTGTTCAGGTTTAGCATAATGCATCCTATAATTTAGGATCGTGGATATACCGAAGTAGAGAATATCCGTGGGCACTATGCTGACTTGAACTGAGCATTCTTTTTGGGGGTGGGGGGAGTCGGGTACCGGGGATCGAACTCGGGTCTTTGCGCTGGCGCAGCAGGCGGCGAAACCACTGAGCTAAATCCCTGGCTCAAACTGAGTATTCTTAAAGTGATACAATGATAGCAGCTCAGAGGTGGGCCAGGGTTAGAGTTGGAGAAAGACGTGATTATCAGGGTGTCGTCTGAGAATGCACAGATGTGTCCTATATTCTGAGAGTGGGGATGGTTGCGTCTGCGCAGATGACTAAATTTCATAGAACTGCTGTGGATGTGGGTCAGTGGTACGGTACTTGCCTAGCACGTGTGACGCCCTAGGTTCAATCTCCAGCACCCACAAAGGTTTTTTTCATAGGAATACAAATATATGCATGTATAAGTGTGCATATAAAAACTAGGGAAATCCATATAAGGTCTGTAGCTGAGTTAAAAGTCTTGTTGTGATGTTAATTTCCTGGTTTTAACAATGCACTCTGGTTGGGGAAGTATCATGAAAGAAACTGTAACTTTTTGTAAGCCCAAGACTATTTAAAAATAAATTTTATAAAAGATATCAACATGCCCTTGTTCACCAATAACTTTTCAAGGACCAAAAGATGAGTGCGAGCTAACTAACCCATTTTGGAGAGCAGAGGTGTAGACACACGCCTTATCTCTGCTGGTGACAGCAAGTGGAAACTGTGTTACTGCACCACACGTGGCTTTGCCATCATGGCCCACATTTCTGCCACAGGTGAATGATGCAGTAGTGAGGTCTGAAAGCGGATGTTTTCCCAGTGTCTCCACTGTATTACAGAGAACTTTGAGGAAGGAGACTTTTAAGCCCAGAAGCCCTGACCCCTGCTCTTGGCTGGTGTCACACCCTGGCAGTGTGGCAGGCAGGGTAAACGTAACCAGCAGGGACCCCACACCTGGGCAGAGAGGCCAACAGGAGGGGAGAGGCCTGGTAGCCATATCACGCTTCTGAGCAAAGCTGGGGTACTCAGCCTGTTTGGGGAGTCATGCATATGTGTGGGGGATGCGGCCTGAGTGACGTTTGAATAACATGTGAAGTAGAGTCACAGGATGCTGGCCCTGAGGGCAACGCTTCCATCTGTGGGTGAAAGCAGATTTCAAATCAACACGGGGAACTGTCCGGCAAGCCTTCTTTGGTAAGTAATGAGTTCCTAGACACGGGAAAGAGCAACCTAGATCCAGTGACCACCTGTTGGGGACACTACCAGGGGACCTAGACTAGGATCCATCACACTCCGAGAGGATGACAACAACGAGGAGGACACTGGGAGTGGGGAGCCCTGATGTGAACCTAGAGTCCTGAGTGGTCGCCCCACTGTTTTACTCCCTTGGTATTTCCCAAGCTCCTCCACTCTTCAGTGGTTCATGATGTTCCAACAGAAGCCTCACTTTCCCAGCAGGCCGGAAGCGTGGCACCAGGGCCCCAGGGTCAGGAGGAAGCTCCGCAAACATCTGCAGCCAGCCAGATGGCCGCGCTGATGTGCCCACAGCGAGAAGCCAGCCTGCCGGTCTGTTCAGAGTCCTCTCGCACTGAGAGTCCATATATTTCATGACCCCCGCACTTCCTGGCACAGCCTCCCCGCAGCGGTGATTCATTTCTCTTCTGCAGCTTTGCCAGCGTTCAGGTTTTCTACTTAGTTCTCAATGAACTAGCTATCATAGTTATAGCTCCCTAGAAAATGTCATACAGTAACTCTGTCAGGGTTTTTACTTGCTTGGATGGATCATTTTATTTCAGCAAGGTGTTTTATTAGCTTGGAGAGTCATGAATCACTTCAAAGGTAGATGAAAGATGACCCAATACATACACTTTCATAGGGGATGTTGCTCCTTCCATTGAAGATCGTGACTCCTTGATAAGGACATGAGATCAATTTGATTTCATAAAAATTACAGAAAATAGAATCATATCAATATATCCACATACCTCCCAGGACAGAGCTGAGGAGCTGAGTCCAGCTCCCACCTGGTTTCCACCACTGGGGAATCATCATCAACTCACAGGGATGTAATGGCCCCCAACAAAGCAGCCCAAGGCTCCTTCCCAGAGTTGTAAGTCTTCCTGGACCCAAGCAACACCAAGGACTAAGACCTCAGGAAGCTGGAAGTGGCTTTGAAAAAGGAATTATATTAGTAAGGCTAGGTTCTACAATATTGCCATAACAACTAAATCCTTAATTCTCAGTGGCTTACCTCAAAAAAAGCTTCAGGTTTCAGTGAGTTTTGGTCAGGCCGCATTGCATGGTGACTCAGGAATGGATCCAGTCCTCTTTTATCGTATTATAGCAGAAGAGAAAGAGAGAGGGGAGAGGGAGGGAAGGGAAGGGAAGACCCTCACCCACCAGTAAATGCCAGGACCTAAAAGTAACCCCACTGTCTTTACTCACCGTTCTCTGGCCAGATACTGAATATAAGAAGGTCAAAGAAGCAAGGGCATAAGCCATAAGCTGTCTCTGCCACAAGGCTCTTCTCTGAGAATGGCTTTCTCAGTACCTACTTTCCACCCTGAGCTTCATTCAGCTGAGCTGATGGCCACTGGGCTCCAGGTTTCTTCCAATGTATGTGTCACCTTCACTTCTGTGGCTGAAGAACAACCTGGCTCCACAGCCCAGAAAACCTCTTCTGAAAGCAAAGCCAGGGGTTAGGCGTGCTGGGCCTGGGAACATGGTTGAATACTGTGGCTGAGAGATCTGTCTCCTTCCTCTCTTCTGCATTCCTAACCTGAAAACACCCTTCCCTGGGAAGATGCAGCGTAAGTGAGTGCAGCCCTGCCTCTACCTACTAGTTTGCTTGAGGGCCTGTCCAAAGCCGGCAGGCTGGGGTGCTACAGCCCCAGGAGTGGCCCTCACCTGTGCCACTCAGGTGTGTTATATTTTGAACCTGACCTCATGGTTTCATACTGGCGAAAGTCCCCTAGAAAAGTCAGGGATGGGGCACCTCCCTATATTATCACTCAATTAAAAAAAAAGATAATCACCCAAGGAATAGCTTCTAAGACTCAGCAGAATCTCATTTGCTTGTAAATCTGCCAAGCTGCACAGATATTATATTGTACTATTATGGAATTCATCCTATAGTATCTTCAAAGTAAAGGATTGTCTCAGTGAGCAAAGCACTTTTTTCTTTTCCAAATCCTGTTTTAATTAGAAAATTCATGGAAAATATAGAACGATTGCCCCATAGCCACTTGAAAAAAATATTTGTTTGGAAGCCTTGAAAATATTGGTGAACTGAAAAAGAAATTGAACTTTGATATTTTTCTCCCATTTTATTATTCCCCATTCCCTGAAAAGCCTTCAGCATTGTATTTCTGTGTCTTGGAAAAAAGGATGTATCCCCTTCTTAGAACCTGTAGGTAGCCTAATTATATGCAAATCACAGAAATACATATCTGTGGTTAAAGGATATTTAAAATGCTAAAAGCTTTTTCTCAACTGTTAGCTGTTTTTTTAAAAATGGCTATTTCAAGAACCTGGAAGCGCTGTCACCATGTTCTCCTCTTTCTCAAGCACATGCAAGAAGCCTCCCTTGTAATAATGCCTCATGGGCTGTACTTTCTCAAAACAGCTGAAGTGGGGACCACAGTTTGAATCTGGTTTTGAAGCAATTCTATATTAATCTTTCTTTCTTAACAGTGGCAATTTTCCTCACTGTATTCAGCATCAAAATATAACACTATAGAAACCAAACAGAAATTAAGTTGTTCTCATTCTGAAAAAGATTTCTTAATATTGTCCTTTACTTCTTGAAAATGTTGCTATGGATGCATTTTGAAAGGATCATTATTTCTCTGATATCTGAGATCTATTCTAGTCTCCTGGCTATAAACACTATCAAAATGCTGACGGTTCCCAAGTTTCTACTTCCACTTCTGAGTTCCAGGCTTACATAACCAACTGCTCATTTACATAACAAACATTCTCTTGGTTGTCCAATAGGTGTCTCAAACTGAGCACATTCAAAACCTAATTTCTCATCTTCTACAAAGCTGCTGCTCCCCAACTTTCTCCTCTCAACAAAGGGCCACACCATGGTTCTAGTGTCTCGGGTGTAAAAAGCCTTGCTATTACCCTTAATTCTGTGCTTTCTTTATATTGCATTTCAACTCATTGGCTGAGTTCTATTTTAAAATATGTCTAGAATGTGATTAGTTGTTACTGTCTTCCCAGGATCACCCTGGTCCAAACTACCACCATTACTTACCTAGAGTTTTGCAGTGCTCTTCTCCCCGATTCTCCCCTCCGACTTTCTCGTTTTCCCATCGCAGCCAGAGTGGTCCTTTCAAGACATCAAGAGGATGATGTTACTGTGATGCTCTAACTCCTCCAGGGTCTCCCATCTCACCCGGCATCACAACAAAGGGCTTAAATGGCCTCTAGGACACCCCCTTTGGGCCTCATGTCCTACAGCTCTCCCTGACCTGCTCAGTTCCAGCTTGAGTCAGCCTGATCCTCACGCACATCAGCCTGCTTTCCGCTCCAGCTCCTCTGCCTGGAGTGCTCTTCTCCAGATATCTGTAGAGCACTCTTGCTTCAAGTTTCTGGTCAACCATCACCCTGCCTACTTCGACTGCAACAGCGCCCTCCCTTCTGTGCCGCACCTTCCTTAACACTGCTCATCGATATCTCATATTGTTTATCTTCATCTCACACACTTCATATTGTACTTGTTTATTATCTGTCATTTTTCCTACTAGAACTGCACAAACTACACAAGAGTAGTTTTTTCAAAAAATCTCTTTTGTTCACTGCTATGTCCAAACACTTAGAACAGCATCTGGCACGTAACAGACATTGAATAAATATTTGTTGAATGAATGACTAAGGTTGCCTTCTGTGAGAAAGCAACATATCTGGTTAAATTAGGAACTAGTGCTCACTTTCATGCTTGATCACACTCCTCATTCATAGATTTGTGGTAGGTAAACCAGTGACTGGCCACAAGGGACTCCTAGTGAGAACGAGCAGGTGCTAGGCCTGTTACCAAACTTCGAAGGTGATTCCAGCATCCCGTGTCCTGGTGCCCAGCTCACCGCACCCTAGAATAGGCTCCTAGCTGGACTCACTGCCAGCAGTCAGTCACGACAGGCACACTTAAGGACGAGCGTAAGTGTGTCACGTCAGGAACCGGGAGACCCCAGGAAGATCACCCATCCCTTGGGGAAGAGAGTTCCAGGCTCAGAGAGGATAGGGGTGACCAGACTACAGCTTCATGGGTGCCAGGAAATCAGCCTCTCTCCTGCGCCCTTGTCTGTCAGGGAAGTGTTCTAAGTCAAAATTCAGATGTATTTAACCTAAAGTCAGCACACCTGTGGACAGGAGCGTGACAAGAAGAGCACCTTCTTCCTCCATTCCCAGACACACTTGGCTCGGTCTCCTCCAAGCTCAGCAAGCTGTAGGAGTAAACTAGGTTACAGGCCGAAGAGATATGCATGAGCTGTGTTCCAAAAGAGAAGGGCTGAGGGACTAAGTGGCCCGAGTTATGCAAGATATCTGAGTTGTGCTGCTAATGCGGCCTTGCTAATAGCTACACAGTGGCTGGATCTGGGGACACTTGGGCCCCTTTGGGATGACATCTTTATCCCCAGTGGTGCCCTGGATACACTATGGTATCACCAACCTGCAGAAAGGGCTGCCCAAAGGCGGAGCACACTTGAAGTCAGAGGTCACCAAAACAAGTGAGCACAGTGCTTTAGGGGGGGTCCCAAGAAACTAAAAACTGTGCTGAAATTTTACTATGTCCTAAGCAGAAAGGGTAAGAAATCCTTCCATGTTTCGTTCACTCTTAGGAAGTGACATCTAGAGAGAAAATGAATCAGATAAAAAGGAAAGGCAAATTATGATATTAAAAATTCATTTCCATTTAGCAAATTTGCTATTAGCATCACAATTCAGGATATTTTAATAATTATAGCCTCAGATAAGTGGCATAATTGGATGCCTCACTGATAGGATTTAAGGAACATCAGAAAAAAATCCCTTCATCAAAACTGTGTCCCTAACAGCCTGAGCTCATCCGCAGGAGCAGAACGTGCCCAGGGCTTTCCAGCCTCCTCTTCTAAAACCCACTTTCCCAGGGGGCTCAGCAGCCAAGGCCCAGCTGTTCCTCACCAGTGCATGGGGCATGTGGGGATCTGAATCCTGAGACTGGGCTGAGCATGGGTCAGAAGGTGAGGCTTCCAGGTGGGCACCCTGCACCCCAGGAGGCTTGTGCTCCCCGTGTGTGTGTCCTCACAGACCAATCTACAGCACTCAGGAGGAAAGCAGGTGCTGTGTTTCTATCTAAATGATTCAACACAGAGTAAGTTCACAGGAGAGATGGCAGGAGCTGAGGACAAACATCCTTAAGCCAGGGAGTTATCTCATCCGTGATGAGTTATCACATCACGGTATAGCATCAGGAAGGGCACAAGTATGCCCTGTCCTCCACCAGCTCAGCCTGAAAGTGCTGGCTGAGGCCCTACCTGGCTGAGGACTCACCTGCCTGCCTCCAGCCAAGTTGCTACAGAGCCTCTGGAACAAGTAAAGGATCCTATAGCTATGTTATCTCAAATACCCTCTTTCACACTTTAATGGGAACCAGGTAAGGGCACTTAAGGGCACTTAAGCCCCACTTCAAGCCATCATTCTGAAAGTCCCCTGCCCTCTGCTTGCACCACTCTAGCTCAGAGAAAGTGAGTGATGGTGATGCACACCGTCATACCTTGGCCAAGCTCCCTATGATAAACAGGGGGATTTCTGGTGTGCGAGGCTAAGCCTTTCTGTTCTCCCAGCATAACAGTCATCAAGAGTTTCCCATGAGTCTCAAGATAAAGACCCAAATCATGGTCTCACAAGCCCTTAGTGTTCACTGCACACTCAGCTCCCAATGTTCCCTCACTACTGCAGGACACCATGCCCTCTCTTCCACTAACACATTTTTCTCTCTTGGTCCTCAGTTGGTGGAACTGTAGCTTAAGTTTCATTGTGGAAGGATGGGATGGGATTAGAGTATGCTAAATTGCAACCAAGCTTGATTTTTGCCAAGATTCAGCTGTTTTTCTTTAATGAGCATTCTTCGTATTGTTACAAGTTTTAGGTTCTCCACAGTTCTGGAAAAGCTACTATGAACAGGTTTTACCAGTATTCTTATTGTTTTTATGTTGTAGCAGATCTTCAGAGCTCCTTACTTTGCCAGTCTAGATGTACTTTTGCCAGTGACTTGATTTTTGACAAATGTGTAAAGCTAACTCAGTGGGTATAGAGTAGTCTTTTCAACAAGTGGACAGAAACAGACATCTATGTGCAATCCATAAAAATAATTTTGATCTATACCTTAGACCGTACAAAAAGCCTTAAGACAAATTGATCAGAGATCTAAATGCAAAGCTTTAAAACTACTAGAAGAAAATCACAGAAAATCTCCATAACCTTGGTAATGCAAAAGATTCTTAGGTACAAAGCTAAATAAATGATCCTTAAAAAACAAATTGCTAAATTGGACTTTATAAAAATTAAGATCTTCTGCTATTCTAAATCAATGTTAAAAGAATTAAAAAGATAAGCCACAGGTTAGAAGAAAATATTAGGAAATCAGACACCTGATAAATGGCATAACCAAAATACATAAAATTTTTCAATACAAATCCTAAAACAATGCAATTTAAAAATGGACCCAAAATTGGCCAGATATTTCATGAAGGAAGACAGGCAGATAGTACCTGAACACATGAAAAATTGCTCAACTTCTGTGTTCCTCAGGGAAGTACAAATGAAAGCCATAATGAGATACCACTACACATCTATAGAATGGCTAGAATTAAAGAGATTGTTATACCAACTGCTTGTGAGCATGTGGAGCCACTGAAACTCTTAAAGGCTACTGGTAGAAATGCAAAATTGTACAACTCTTTTGGCAAACAGTTCGGCAGTTTCTTAAAAAGCTAAACATTCATCCAAACCACTCTACTCCAAGGTATTTAACCAGGAGAAACGAAAACACATATCCACACAAAGATTCATACTTGGATACTCATTGCAATATTGCTCGCAGTAGCTCAAAACTGGAAACAACCAAAAAATTTATCAACAAGTGAATGAATAAACACATTTGGTATATCCATTCAATGGAATACTACTTCATAATAAAAAGAAATAAAGAATTGATATATCCAGCAAGACAAATGACCTAAAACTAACCACAGCAAGCAAAAGAACTTAAATTTAAAAACTAGTACATGCTATGATTCAATTCATATAAAATTCCAGAAAATTTAATTGTATGCATTTGTTCAATACAAAGTTACCTATAGTGGTAGATTGCAGATACGTGGTTGTATGGGATGATGCGAGGGCTAGGATGAGTGAGAAAGATGGATCCCCAAATGTCCCCAAGATGTCTGTGTTCATTACCTTTATTGTGAAAACAGTGTCACATCACATATGTCCATCAAAACTAAAATTTTAAATATGTCTATCTAATTAAATGTCAATTATTTCTCAATGAAGCTGAAAAATAATAAAGCCTGAGGTCAAGTGAAATCAATCAATGTGTGGCTTATAAGGTCTTTAGTTAGGACTCCTTTAGAATGAATGCACGGACCAGAAGAACTTCTTGATGAACAAATGGTCTGTAGGAAACTGAAGGCCGAGCTCTCACAAAGGCCTAATCTCAACACAGCAGAAACACAGTTCCAGGGAGAGAAGCACAGTTGAAATAAATTGTAGGTGTGACTCTTTGAGCATTAAGTGAGCAATTATAAAATACATAGAAGTCCCCAAGTGTTTTTAAACATGAGTTGTATTGGTAAAATTGCTGTCAACCTGGGCTAAATGGCACGAGACTATTCAAATTGAAAAAAAGCTCTCTGGGTCCTTCACTTTCTATGAAAATTAAGCAAGGCTTAAGGCTTGCTTAAATTAAGAAGCAGGCTGAGGAGACTGCCGAGAAGTCTGCTGAGCTACCCACAGCCCATCTCTTCAGGAGCTGCCAGAGAGTGACAGGTAGTACAGCACAGGCAAGGCCAAGAGCTGTGAAAACGTCCAACTGGGGCATCATTCCAGAGAGTAGACCATGCTCTAATCAAGCAACACTGCTGTTCCAGAGGGACTCCTGCTGACACTTCTGCTCAGCACGATTTCAGATTGTGGATCAGTGACTGTTTCGAAGAGGAATGTTTACTGCTGTCATCCTACCCTTGTTTCTCCACTGCATATGGATGTGTGATAGGCAGGTTTCCTCCATGTTCACTGAGTCTCCAGGTCAGAAAGTGCTACATGGGATTTCATACAGATTACAAG